TTGTCAGAAATAAAGGTCGTAAAGGTGATCACATGACCCTGGGATGCTGCAACCATTGTAAATACATGCCAGTTGGCAAGTGCCTGAATTTTGATCATGTGATTGTGGGAATTCTGCAACAGTCGTAAGTGCGAGGACCATTTGTAAGTCACTTTTTTCAACGCTGTTACAACTTCAAATGGTCATTAAATGAGTCGTAATTAAGGACTATTTGTATATTATATATAATAACTAAAACAAAATATCACATTGCATTGCATATGCAATGCAGAACCAGTAGCCCTCAAAGATTCAATGTGGCAAAAAGATATTCTAAACCTGGCAGAACAAACTAACTGCCGTTTGAAAACAAATTAAAGATACTAAAGTATATTAATCTTTGTGTCCTCCATTTTTTAACAGTGCCATCTGTGTTGTACTATTTACTTCAGTTTTAGACTGGCATAGAAAACTAGCCTCTTGGATTTTACTCATCTATATATACTGTAGGAGTTCAGTGAAGTATTGAAGAATCCTTATGCATTCCTTAATTTCTACAGTTAATGCAAATAATTCAGTTATTTTAAATGGGAGAGATCATTTAGTACACTTTCTCCTCATTCAACAACTGTGTTCCATTCTAACGACTTGGTTGTTAAGTAAAATAATTGCTAAATGAATACATGGTTGAAACACAGAGAGAGAGGGTTACGAAGATCATTAGTTCCTTCTTTCCTACAGTGTCCTGTGCCTGATCCATTTTCCCCATTTTGTCCCCCTTACAGGTTGGAGAGATTGCTTAAGCTGTCTTCCTGGGCTGCTTTTCTCCACATAGCAGTGATTCCCTAAAAACTGCAAACAAGGTAACAAGCTCAGTTCTGTGACCTTGATTAGTTAATTAGAACTCCTAACTGCCTGAAACTAATATGACTTTAATCAGTTTCACTCTGAAGGCTTCTATTGTCAGGTCCAAATGCGTGGATTGGTTGGAAAATGAATTTTTAATCGCAATTTATTATTGTTGTAGTTGTGAGTGAGGTAGTCACTAAATGAGTAATGGCTGTACAATTAGCAAAAAAAATGATTTAAAACAATGAAAACAAAATTTTGCAGTAGGAAAAAACAGATATCTCAATTTTTTTAACTTTCTTAAAAACAGAATATTAAATGATTCAAGAACTAGGCATATAAAGGTCTTCAAATAAGCCTAAAAATCTCTGGAAATTTCCATGTTTTAATAAGACCAAGTAAAAATATCTAGTAATGTCTCTGTGCCAAATGGATAACAAAAGAATGCTGCAGTTGAATAGCATGAGCAGATGTGTAAAGTATTATTTTTCTGATCTTCAAGATTTATACCTGAAAGCAAATTCTTTGCAAAAATGGTAACTATTTAAAAAGAATTAAGTAGTTACACTGATCTCATAGATTGATCTTTTCAATCTACTTAAAAAACTATTTTCTGCATGTATCCTATTTTCCAATATAAGCTATTACAATCAACTGGCTTAGGCATGTAAATAATAAAACACACAGTTGTTTCATTAACTATTCCTCATTTTTAAAATTTGCTCTCATGTTCTGTTAATTACATACTCTGTAATATATAATATATATAATAGTTACATAGTGTAATTAGTTACACTAAGGAATCCTGTTAAAACAGCCCAATAAGTTTGATTCTAGAGTAAGTGTCTAAATGAGATGCAAGTGGCTCCTCAAGTGAAATGAAGTACATTTAGCAACTGCCGTGTACCGTGGCCATTTGCACTTACAACCTTTTTACTTAAAACCTTCTCACAAAAAAGTACATTGCTGGAAATGCCACAGTACCTTCCCCCCTCTGTGGATGTGATACCATACTGATGTGCCACCAAAATCTACATGGAAATCTGTGTAGCATCCTTTAACGCTCATCAGGCAATATCTGAAATACAGTAAAACCAGAAATTATGAAAACATAAACTTTATTGAATTAAGTTGCAACACTGTGTAGATGGAATAAATGCTTATTGTTAGTATTTGGTATGCCACTGACATGTTGAATGACAGTATTAATTACCAGAATCTATAGTATTAAGAATACTCTCTACTGTTGAAAGAAAAGTAGACAATAAGATTAGTACTTGATATGTAGTTTCCATTGTATCAGAAAGCCAGTAATAGGAATCTATATCCCTAAGCAGGAAGTTCTTCCTGCTATAATTCCTGCTGTTTCAAACAAACCTATTTTGCCAATCAACAATACAATGTTAATAGATGTTACCCATCCTATTAGCATCGTTGGAGGACTTAGGAATGATGTTAGCACGTCTGGCACAGACTGCTGACCTTTGACAATCAATAAAATATAAAAGGATAGATAGCAATATAGAAACATCTTCCTTAAAACTCACATCAATGAAAAAAAAGATCTATATATAAAATTTTACTTACTTTTGCACTTTTGGATACTGCATATCCAAAATAGCATTTGTTGATTCTGTCTGGCTTTCCTTCAGATGCCTTGGCCACATATTGTCAACCCAATCAATTAAATCCACCTGGAAATATGTATTAAATCAAGATTTATGTTTGTCACAAACAAATGTTCGATATCCTTCTGCCAAAATATTAAATAGGTATGAAAGATTATACCTCAAGGTTCAAGATATAGGATATTTCACTAAGTATCAATTAGTGAGGCTCTACTCACTCACTCTTTAATTAACAATCTAGTATTATTACACTGATATATTCTATATTCATGAAGAATTAGCTATGAAATAAGATATACAATAATATCTTAGAAATTTAAATGCATGTAACAATCACAATGAATGTCACAAAACAGAACTCGTTAGTCAGGAGTAAATATCTCCCACCTATACTGATGAAATATTACCAAAAAAAGATAGATCCCCACATAAAGACCCTAACTGGAATTGGAATTTCTGTTCCTAAGTGATGCAGTCATTACACAAAACATCACATGACTGCACTGCTTAGTGTTGGTAGTTTCGGTAGTCCCATTGTGGTTGTTAGTCCAGAACTGCACTGTCATTGGAAGAGGATCTTATGCTTTTCCTTCATTGTGGCAGTCGACTCTGCTTAACTCCCTCCACCTACCTATCTCCCCCCCCCATTTTTGCCCTTTTACCCACCCTGCACTCTGCCACCCCTGCCACCTTGCACTTCCATGTCCCTGCCACTCCAGTGGCAAAAGTCAGCTTGGAGCGGCAGGGATGCAGGATGAAGCATAGTGGGGGTGTGGGATGGCAGAGTGCAGTCTCTTCACCTCCCAGCATAGTCCAGTTCCTCTTTATGGGACTCAATATAAAAGACTGTTGATTCATGAGGCAAATTCTTTGGCTGGATTTACTCCAGTTTCAATTGGCTCTGTTGTAAACATACAGTAAGGCCCTAATGACCAGTCGTGAGATGATTTCACTATAGGGCCTACATTTGGGGTAACTGAGCCATTATCTAAACAAGAGTCAGGTGAGAGTCTTATTGGAGGGGAAAAAATTGTAATCTTGGCTTGACTGTCTCCCTCTTTATAATCTTCTATTACTCCAGTCTCTAATGTCAGTCAAAATAACTACCTCTTATGAGGGCCATTTTAAGTATTTAAATAACAATAACAGCCCTTCTACTCATGTTCATAATCATTCTTCCATCCTCCTGCAATAAGTACTCTCAGCTTTACTAACTGGCTGCCTGTATTGCAGTTGGGAGAAGAGAAATGAGTTTTGTGGGATAAGATACTTGGAGTTCCATCATTAGTTTACAATCTTTGTTATTGGCATGCTGCAGTAAACTTAGCTTGTCGTGGTCAAACCACAGCTGATACTAATGCTGTGTGCTTCAATTAAAATAAACCTACCCAATATTTATGGAATAAAATTTAAAATTATCACTTGGAGCTCACGTACGTGCAGTCTCCTATATCACCATCTCACTGGAAGTCAAATGGACTTAAATATACTTTAGTATTGCTAATGAAAGGATCAAGTTTTTTTTTTCTTCCGAGCATTTCTCCTGCAGGGTCCACTTTTTCGGACTAACCAAATGTTGGCCCATTGGCTGAAACAGTAATTGACTGATTGGCTTGTTGCCTGATGTTGTGGGCTGAGAGAGAATCACTGGTCATCCAGCTAGATTTGGATGCCTTAAAGCAGGACTCCTAGTTTCTAACCTGGAACCTTAACAATTAGATCAAACTGGCTTGCTAAAAGAATGAGAGTTAATGCTTATATTTAAATACAGACTGATTTCTCATATTGTAATTAATTTCTAATAATGTAATTAATGCCACACATACTGCAAGCTATCAGTCACAACTTATTTTTATTTTAACATGAATAATTTCCTCCAAGGACAATATATTTAATTCTTTATATAGTGAAGGTTTTTTGTTAAGATTTTTATTTACAATAATGCCTAGAAGTACATTTTTAGTTAGCTCCCAGTTTTCTTATGGATGCAATTCATGGTGCTGGTTATCACCTTTAACACCCTAAATCAGGGTGTCAAACTCAATTTCATTGAGGGCCACATCAGCATTGTGGTGCCCTCAGGGGGGGCGTGGGGCGTGGCACATTGGGTGGGCAGACTGGTGGTGGTCACGGCAGACTGGGTAGGCGTGGCCAGGGTGGACGTGGCCACCTCAATGTTGCTCGGAGGGATGACTGTGGGGGCCGGGCAGGGTTGGGGAAGATCCAGGCGGTCTCTGGCAGGTGGGGCGGTGGGCAGGAGGCTCGTCCTGCAGGGTGAGGCGGGGCAGGGTGGGGATGCCATTGCTGTGGGGCAAGGCGAGGCAGGGGCCGGGGTGGCTGCTGCCTGACACCATCAGCCCTCGCACAGATGCCAACAAGTGCATGGGGGCCAACGGTGTCTGTCAGCAGCCACAGCATGCTGGCCCCTTGACCGGTGCACTCTGGGGCTCCGCAGCCCACTGAGAATACTCGGCCCTCCAACAGCAGGCAGAGTAGGGAAGGCATGTGATGCAGACTGCCGGACGCGCCTACTCCGTCCCATCTGTTTTTGCTTGCGGTTGGAGAGCAGGTCACTGCTGGTCATCTCCTCAGCCCCCTTGCAGATTTTGCCCTTGGCCCGCGCATGGAGCCTATTCCCCTTGCACACCTGACGCATTTGGCTCCACCTCGGGCCGGCACTGCCAGCAGCTCGCGCAGGTCCATTAGGCACCTGGCCCGCCCAGCAAAAAGGAGGCGAAACGGCTGGCTAGCAAGCTCGAGTAGAGGTGGTAGAGCATGCCCACGCCCAGCAAGCAAAAGGCCACCCCGAGTGGGGAAAGCTGGATCCCCATCAGCGCCATGGCCCCCCAGTCCCAGGTAGGATTGTGTGCCTCCCCCCCATCTCTGCTGGGCCTGGGCAGCCATGACTCTGATGGGGATCCGACTTTCCCCGCTTGGGGTGGCCTTTTGCCTGCTGGCCCTGGGTGTACTCTACCATCTCTACTTGGGGCTTCCTAGCTGACCGCTTTGCCTCCTTCGTGCTGGGCGGGCCTGCAGCTCTGGGCGACAGCCTAACAGACCTGCGTTGGCGGCTGCGGCAGGTACCGAGGTGTGCGAGGGGAATGCGTTCCACCCGCAGGCCAAGGGCAAGACCCTCGAGGGGGCTGAGATGACCAGTGGAGACCTGCTCTCCAATCAAAAAGAGATGGGACAGAGTAGGCATGTCCGGTGGCTCGCATCACGTGCCCCCGACTCCATGTGTTGCCGGTGCCGCCACAGCGCTGCTGCTGGAGGGCCAGCCCAGTATTCACAGCAGGCTATGCAGTCCCTGCTGCCGGATGCTGTCGGCCCGTGTGCTCACTGCCTCCTGTGCGCACGCCTTGGGGTCCGCCGGGCTAGCTGGGGCTGGAGCCAGGGTGGCGGGGGCCAGTCCCTCGCCGTCTCCAGGGCATCCCTGGGGACCAAATATCGGCCAATTGGGGGGCCTGATTTGGTCCGCGGGTCTTGTGTTTGACATGTCTGCCCTAAATGGCATGGGATCTGGTTATCTGTGGGACTCCCTAAGAATATCCACCCATCCCACAAGATCAAAAAGGGTGAGCATGCTTCAAGTCCCCTTCTTAAAATCTTGCTGTCTAACAGGACTTTGGAAGCATGTCTTTTCCGTGGCTGCCCTACCTTGTGGAACATTGTCCTGCTGGCAATTTGCCAGGTCTCCACCCTTCAAGCCATTTGGAAGGCTGTTAAGACTTGGCTTTTGACTGAAGTGCTGGGATTACATTGCTAGTAGGCATGAAAGGAGGGTAGTTGAACTTGCTGTGAGGCATCCCAGTGGGCATGACTATGGCACGGGGTATTATTTCATTGTTTTCTGTTTATGGTTATTTACTAGTTTTATGGTTGTTGCAAGTTGCTTAAGATGGATGGCCACATAAATCTTTTAAATAAATAAATAAATAAAATCTACTATGTATAAACAGGGAGCAAATGCAACATTCGCTAGCACTGATGATGTTACCTAGTCAGATAATAAAACATCTGCAAGCAAACAAGCAATCTCAGCAAGCATCAAAGATTCCATACAGTATATCATACTATCACCTACCCCAGTGATGGCGAACCTTTTAGAGACCGAGTGCCCAAACTGCAACCCAAAACCCACTTATGCATCGTCGGGTGCCGGGGTGGGTGTGGCCCATTGGGTGGGTGTGGCCCATTGGGTGGGCGTGGCTGCGGTGGTAACAACAGATTGGGTGGGACTAAAAAGTTCAATCAATCAATTCCAACTTTGCAAGATCTTTTTTTTCCCCGCGAGAAGATGAAATTGACTGATTGATTGAACCTTTTTTTGTGTGCACATGGCGGCGGAGGCCTAAAGCGAAAAGGTTTTATAAAACCCAGCTGAAGGCCTAGGACTGGGGCGACGACGCGCATGCCGACAGAGAGGGCTCTGAGTGCCGCCTCTGGCACCCGTGCCATAGGTTCGCCACCACTGACCTACCCGATAAAATCAACAAATGTTAAGACATAAAGCACATTCAAAATCCTGACAAAATACAGTCAAAATAAAACATACCAATATGAAGAACAATTGCTAAGAGATCATACAGGGGAACCGCCATTTTTACCGCTGTATTTGTCAAAAGCCAAATTTAATAGAAGCCCTTAACTAATTTCTTAAATGACAGAAAGGAGAAGGTCATGCTAACCTCAAGGAAAAAGAGAAGCCGATAGGATCGTGCAGCCATGTGAAAGGCTCATCTTCACACTCTTGTTCCCCAAACTCAAGCTTAAATTGAGACTGTACCCAAAGCAAATGCAGTCAGGCAGAAATGCTTCCCATTCCACTTCCATCTTGCACTTATCCACTCACAACTTTACTCCCAAACATCTATGCCAGCAGTATTCCAACTGCCTGTAATAACTGAGCCACACCCTGTTGTTTTCAAGGATGTCCTAACGTCCAGAGGCAGCCATACCCCACCCAGGCTCTTGGCTTACAAAAGAAAAGGCTACAACAAAGGGAAGCGGCGTAAGCGGATAAGAACAAATCTATCTAATCGGTAAAACCCAAAATTAAAGTTTCA